TACTGAATGGAGCACTGGGTGTTATGTGCAAACAATGAATCATGGAACACTACATCAAAAACTAATGATGTAATGTATGGTGATTAACACAACATAATAAAATTAAATTAAAAAAAATAGGGGCATATCTAAATTCTTATTGAACAGATTAAATAAAACATCTCTCTGAATCCAAACAAAACTTATATGATCTCTAAGGGACATGCTCTATTTTGTGAAAAGAAATGACATTTAGCCTTCTGAGCTGCTCTTGAAGAAAGTATGAGACCTGAGGAGGAGAGAAGATTTGAATTTAGGAGTCCTGGATTCTAATCTGACCTCTACCCCCACTGGGCATGTGGCCTTGAAAAGTCACTTAATCTCTATGCATTTAAATTTTCTCATGTTAATAATTAAGAAGTTATGCTTAAGAATATCTAAAAGCCATTCTGAATCTGGAACTTAAGGAATTTACAGCAACCTCTATTCCTTAAGTTTTGGCTACTGGCAAAACATATTCTATGTTGTAATTAATGTGATTTTGGGGAAAAAATGTTAACCCCCCCAAATTTGTTTGTTCAAAGTGAACATTGATAAACCCTGTCTGTTTACTTGTGACGTAGCTCCAATTAGATAGCAACTACAGAAGCAAGAAAAAAATGAGGAAAACAAAATTTACTGGGCAAACATTTTCCTGTCTGGACTTTCAAATACAAATGGATTTTAATAACTGCCTTTTGGTGCCATAATAAGAACTCAACCTTTTTATCACTCCATTCCCCCACAGCCCACCATTGGATGGGGGCTGGTCTTTCTTGTCTGAGTTATATTAAAGAGAAAAGTCTAACCATATAAATTTTCATTTCAAATGTGTTTGTTTCTATTTGTGTTTTTGTTTTTTATTTGGATAAAGGATGTGAAGCAGAATCCCCTAAGTGAAATGGCCCCTGGCATCACTAAAGAATGGGACTTCGGGTGTGTTATGGGAACATTAGCAGGAGGGGACGGGAAGGCAGAGGATCCCACGTCACTTGGCAATAATGGGGGCCCAGGAGAAACATGGCCTTTGAAAATGTCACTGTGGCAAGGATGACTGATAACATTTTTTTTTAAACTTGACATCCTTCTGCTGTAATTACTCTATATCCTCAGGAGCTAAGTGTGTCCTATATAATCTCATTCCCTCAATTTTCTTTTGAACCCACTCCATTTAGTCTTTTGAGCCAAAAACTTCATTAAAATTATTTTTGACAAGGTCATAATTGACCTCTATGTCTCAAATATAATAAAATATAATAAATATATTTAGATACAATAAATATATTTTAAAATACAGTACATATATTTAAATGCAATAAGCACATTTTAAACTACAATAAATATATTTAAATGTAATAGTCAATTTTCAGTCCACATTATTTTTTACTTTATAGCTTTGGATAGAGTTGATCATTCCCTCCTTCTTATAATACTTCCTCACTTGATTAACAGGAAAGCATTCTCTTCTGCCTGCTTCTTCTCCTGTGTTGGTGACCACTCATTTTAATCTGCTTTGCTGGTTCCTTCTCTCTCTGAATTCTAAATGGTAGAGTGTCCCAAGGCTCAATCCTTTAGTAGCTTCTCTCTCTTGTCACTCACTCCTTAAGTGACTTGATTTAGTCTCAGCATTTGAAAATATCATCCATATATTTTTTTTTTAAAGATTTTATGTATTTATTCAACAGAGAGAGCGAGAGAGTACAAGCAGGGGGAGCAATAGAGGGAGACAGAGAAGCAGGCTCCCCACGGAGTGGAGAGCCTGACATGGGGCTCGATCCCAGAACCCTGAGATTATGACCTGAGTCGAAGGCAGATGCTTAACAATCTGAGTCACCCAGGCGTCCCATCCATATATTTTCTATCTCTACTCTGATCTTCTCTCCTGAATACCTGACTTATAGATCATACTTGATCACACTTAGATGTCCAATAGGGATCTCAAACTTCTGTTGGAAATCAAACTCTTTCCGAATCCTCTTGTTGCACAGGCTTTCCTAGGTAAGGTAATGGTGACTTCATCCTGCCAGTTGCTTGGCCAAAACCATCACAGTCAATCCCTGACATCTTTCTTTCTCTCACACTCCACATCTAGTCTTTCAACATATTCTATTAGTTCTATTTTCAAAAATACACAGAACCTGACCACTTCCCCCTACGTCCTCTGCTACCATTGTGGTCAAACTACTTTCATCTCTTTCTTGGACTGCTGTAGTAACTTTCTAACTGATCTCTTTACTTCTACTCTTTTCTTTTATTCCATCTACTCTTAACTCAGAAACAGAAATAACTTTTAAAAACATAAAACCAGAACAAGTCACTCCTTTATTCAAATTCTCCAATGGCGTCTCACATCACTCAATAAAGGAAGGCCATCCTAGCATTTTTACTACTCCCTGAGCTCGCCAGCTCTACTCCTGCCTCCGAGCCTTTGCCTGGAACTCATTCCCACCAGATACCCTCATAGGTGGTGCCCATTCACACTCACTGCAGATTTTTATTTATTTTTAATTTTATTTATTTATTTTTTTAAGATTTTATTTATTTATTTATTTGAGAGAGAGAGAGAGCGAGCGCATGCAAGCACGAGCCAGGGGGCAGGGAGGGGACAGGGAGAGAGTCCCAATCAGACTGGGAGCTGAACACGGAGCCCAATGTGGGGCTCCATCTCACCACCCTGAGATCATGACCTGAGCAGAAACCAAGAATGGGACGTTTAACCCACTGAGCCATCCAGGTGCCCCAAAAGTTATTTTTTCCATTCCTTGTGAAAGCTGCTCAAAAATAAGAATTAGGATGTAAAATGCATTCTAATAAAGCTCTTTGTATTTTAGAATTAATCTAGTTTGGAATTATCCCATTTCCTTATCTTCAAGATTCCTTCTTCCAAAGTTATTTACTATTGCATTGATATATTTTATATTTGGCACATAGGGTTCCACCAGTCTGTTTAGTGACCTTTTCAATAAATGGAAATGGAAATTGGAACGAAGGTTATGCTATGCCAGTAAGTCACAGAAAGTTTTCCTACTATGACCCCCAATAATTGCTCATGTCCATTTCTTACTTTTCAGTATTTTGGTTAACCTCACTGACATTGCTTCTTGGTGGTTTGCAATATATTGACTCCTTTTCCAAGAGAAGGAAGATAATAATCTCTAACAAAAAAGACATGCAGTGTCCAGCTGCAAAAATTTCTCACTCAGAAGTGTAGTGACCTTTTAAAACTATTCATTTTACCAAGTCATTAGCAAGGTATTTTCCCCCAAGATAGCTGAGGTCAGTGAATGAACAATAAATGGTGTGTATTGTACATTCTGATCCTTTACAGACCAACTTAGGAAGTGACAAATATGCTCTAGTCCTCAAATCCAACTCCTCCAAGAATTCCTGATAAATCAGAAAAAGCCAGTGCTCTTTCCTCCAAATGGAAAAGTTATATGGTATATGAAACAAATGGTGTTTTGAAATATTTTAGCAAATAATTTAACACAAGACAAATTAGCATTTTAATATCTATTAAAAGAGATAAAGAAAAAGATAATTCTTATGAATGGTAATAACAAAAATGATCCAAGTTCTCTAGCTGACAGGGCAAAGGCCAAAAATTCTGCTTTTCTATCTGTCCAGCACTGAACGGAAGGGAGTCAAGGACCCGACTGCAGGTAACAATAATTCCCTCGGTCAATTATCCTGTTGATTACTACATTGCCTCAGAAAAAAGCTTAATTAGTTCCTCTACTTATGAAGTTACCCTGAAAAGCAGAGAGCCAGGTACTGAGAGTATATTAATGTGCTTTTATCTTTTTGCACATCCTTTTACGTCTCATTCTTCTGTCCTATTCCTTAGAAGCCTAATTTTCCTTGGGGGTTGGGGAAGGACAAGAATATTAGAGCAGGAGTGCAAAGGAAAGGAAAAGTTGATAATCAGCTTTTGTCACCTTAAATACGCCAAATCTACAGAAAAACAAACCTTGAAATTTCAGCATTGTAGGGGAAGAAAGGATTTTCCAAATTCCTTAAGCTCTCATTAACATAGCATGAGCTGGATCTGAAGGGCTTCATAACTGAGTTCGGCAGTAAGCCAGAAACAGAGGGAACTCAGGATCAGTGCTACATCAGAGGTGGGGAAGGGGGCGGGGGGCGGAACAGGGAAGCCAGAAGAACTGAGCATTAGCCTGGATGACACTAATTCCCAAAGAGATTAAGACAGAGAGGTTTAAATATAGTTAATTGGCAACTTTGTTTCTCCTCCCTCCATACTTACTGTAGTGGAGGGTCAGGAAGAATATTCTCTAAGTTACAGACCACTACAAAGTCACAGATTCTTTGCATATCTGAGATGCAGGACCTGTAAATTCACATAGTGCAGGAGCCAGTGGGAGGGGCGATCAATCTCTGCAGCTCCCTAGGAACTCACAACTAACTACACCCTCATTCATTGAGCCTCAACAGATCTCTGAGTGTCAAGACCCAACAGATGTCCCTGTCCCTGTATTCCAGAGGAATCACTGCAGCCTCACACTTTTTTTATCATTCTATCTCTGAAAGCTTTTAGGACCTTTGACACCAGGGGTCAGTCCCACTTAAGCCCATTAATTTTTATATGGGCTGTAATTTGTAAACAACCTGTATGTCTTCATGAAAATTTTTTAATTTTCAAGGAGCCCTATAATGGGAACTGCTCCAAACAGCCTTGCTGCTAGCTCACTCCCAAATTAGACTCGGGCTCCTCGTCTCTGAGGGTTATTAAGGCATAGTCCTCTTTCTACACCACTTTCAGCTGCTCAGCATCACTGTCTTATTTCCTACTCAAGAGGTTTTTGCCGACTTTGTTGCCTCATCCTCACTGGGGAAGTCACAGGAGACCAAAACAGCTGACTGTTTGGTAACTAGGACCCAGTGCAGGGATCCAGCGAGCAGAGGTCAGGAATCAGGCAGTCAGATTGGGGGAGCTCTGGGAGAGGAAGTGAGGAGGCAGCCTGGGGAACCAGGAGGACCACACTGTCCCTGGCGTCCTGTGAGGGACTGGGTCCCAGCCAGTCCTGCTTTGGTTTATATCATCCTTGGCAAGTTCTAACACATCATTTCAGAGAATTCAAGAACAAATAGCTAAATTCAACTCATAACCAGATTTTTGAAGAAGTGACCAACAGATGACCACATAATTTTAATTACACCTCATCCGTCCCACTTAGTTGTTTTCACACTGTGGAGAATACAGTGAAAGTTGAGGGAAATCCTAGCCTTGCTGCTTTAATACTCTTTCCATTCAGGCAATGATCTGTCTTTCCTAGACCTTGCCTATTTAAAACCCTACATTTTGGTACATATTCCTTTGCACTGTCTTTAGGAAAAAGTGATTTTGTTGATATTTTGAGTATGTTTTAAGTGTTAGTAATCTAGGGGCCACACGGAGTTTTCACAAGTGGTGGGACTTGGTTACCTTGTTTGGCATGGCTGCTCATGGCACTTGCGGATCTGTGGTTCAGGCTTGCTTAAGTATTTGCACTTCTTGTTGTCCACGATGCTGATGTTTTTGTTCATGATTTTTGTGCAAGACACTGTTGTCTTCCTTTCTCCTGAAAAGAGCAAACAAACACGTAAAGAAATTATAGGTTTTTATGTAAATGACTTAGGAGGTGTGTATAGGTTTGTAATTTTCAGACTTCAAAAGGAATTTTAAGTTAGATCGATGAAGATATGATTTATCATTTACATAAAAATGCATCTCTAGGCTTAAGGAAGATAAATGGTCACTTTTTTCCTCATTAGAAATTACATGGCAGGGCGTCTGGGTGGCTCAGTCGGTTGAGTGTCTGACTCTTGATTTCAGGGTCATGATCTGGGTCATGGGATCAAGCCCCAAGTCAGGCTTCACGCTCAGCACAGAATCTGCTGGAGATTCTCTCTTCCCTCTCCCTCTGCCCCTCCCCCAGCTGGCACATGTGTGAGTGCTCTCTCTCTCTCAAATAAATAAATAAGTCTTTAAACAAAAGAAATTAAATAGCAAGTTTTACATTCCCAAGGGATTGTGGCAGCAAAAGGTGCCAAGACATTAATTAAAGATTCGTTAGTAAGGACTATGCCATCTTTTAGCATTAAGTGGTGGAAAGCTGTAATTTGTAAACAACCTGTATGTCTTCATGAAAGCACATAAACATGCATGCATATTTTATCATTTGGCTGTACACCATCAGTGCTATGTAGTAAGTTATGGAAAGCGAGCTTGTTTTCAGTATAACTCAGAACTTTATTCTTACTGTCTCTGATGAAGGTATTCTAGAGCAATGAGGAATTCTTGAAATCCTCATTCCCTGTTTATTGTGATGTTCTCTAAGAAAAGCCATGGGACTTTTCACCAGATTTCAGAAGAATTGCTTTTCTACTTTCTCTGTTAGGATAAAGTCTGATTACAGGAGGTAAAAATGACCACTTGTATGGTGTATTTATTTTTATCTGGGCCCTATAAGCACACTTACTTGACAAGATTTTCATTATTTCTTCTTGCACCTAAAGAGCCTACTAGACACATGTTAATTCTCTTTCTCTACAAAAGTCTAAATATCTATATAAGATTTCATAATCTAATTTAACTGATTGACATTATGAAGTAATTAAATCAACCAACAATTTTAAAGCCAGATGGGTCATAAAGGATTAAGAAAATAATCACAAGTCTTCTGGGTCTCTACTGCAAGGCCATTAGTTAGGGTCCGATGACTGTCATGCAGTGATAATTAGGAAACAGAGCATTCATGCTGGTCATGCCAAATATGCCTGGGCTGGTGGCAGAGAGGTCACTATGTCATTTAATTAACAGAGAGGGAAGGCTGGTGTCAGGAAGGAAGGAAAGAAGGAATGTAGAGAGAGAGCTACTTTGAATAATTTTTGAGTATCTCTGACCTGAATGGGGGATGGGGAGAGGCAAGAGGGTGGCCCAAGAGAAGGCAGAAGAACAGGTATAGGTTTAGGATCTTTCCTTCCTTTCCCTCTCAACAACACTGAGCACAGTCCCAGGACAATTTTTAGTCTACAAAAAAATGACTACCTCTCTCACCTCTCTCTCTCCCCTGCTGTGTGTGTATGTGTGTGTGTGTAGTAATGAACAATTATATCTATGATTATTGCATATCATTTATTGAAATCATTTAGTTTTATCTTCAGTTTCATGTCCCAGTACAGGCAGCACAATGTTGGCCAATTATGCCTTATCTGGAGAATTCCAGGTCTGGTGCAATGCAACTTATTCTATGGGAGCTCAATGCAGACAACAGAATGCCAGGCAGGTAAAAGGTCTTTTCCCAGCTTGGAAAATAAAACGTGGGCTGAACTGCAGGACTTTATGGCCAGTTGCAACGTGAATGAACATCTCCGCTCAGAAGTCCGCTAAGCCTGCCCTGTGCACCTCACACGGTCAGGCGAGCTGATGGGATCTGGTAGAGAACAGACAACGTTTGACGCCTGGGGTAAATGCTTTGGGGCTGCCCAGGCTATTCTCTGGTAGGTAAAGAAGGGTGGGAGTGTGGCATTAGATTTACTCATAACAAGTGTTCAATACCTACCAACTTCAATTTTCAAATAAACTGCAAAAAAAGCAGAAGAGGCTTATGTTCATTCTTTCACAGAGAAAACTGGCCTCACAAGGTAGTTACCTAAGTGTAAAAAAGTTGGGACAAGGGGGTTGTAGTTAACTTCCTCCTAGTTTCCTATGCTCCAGGTGCTCCTTTATGACCTGATGCTCATACTAAATAGATACCGTGCAGATTCCGTACAATGCTAACATATGTGAGTACAACTTCTACATTACAATGATGCCTACTTTAAAGCAGGATTAACATGCAGGTTACTCTCATTAAATCTAAATGTTAGCTTTAAAATCTAATTTAAAGCCTTCAAATTCATAAGACACTCTTTTGCATTATAGATGGAGTTGCCTAAAGTAATTTATTTATTTATTTATTTTTTATTCATGAGAGAGCGAGAGAGAAAGGCAGAGGGAGAAACAGGCTCCCAAGGAGCAGGGAGCCCGATGCGGGACTCGATCCCAGGACCCTGAGATCATGACCTGAGC